CAAAAGCAGAACATATATTTTCCTTTTGATAACAAAAGGGATTTTCTTTTGGAAAGAAAATCACCCCAGTGTGGTCTTTCTGACTCCACTGTGATGAAACTCGTCTCCACAGCTCGATCTCTTTGAGATTTGGCACAGAAGAAGATGTTTGTTTTTTTTACATAGCTTCAGGCTTCTTTTCAGTTCGACGGCTTTCTGAAGACTGTCATTTTGAAACCACACACAACCAGTGGTACAGAGTCATTGCCCAGGAAACAAAGTAGCCTATAGGAGACTGTGTCATGGAAACATGGGCCTCGCTTTAGTCTCGGTAAGATGAACTCAGTTCGACATCCTCTCTTGAACTATTCTGCCTTCAGCATCAGCTTTGCCCCTGTCAGCCTGCAGGTTCAGTATAATTGGTCCTGTCTGGACTCATCACTGTGCAGACTGCATGCACACGTGGGTGTGCCAGAATATACTGAGTACCTAAAATCAAGAAATTGCAACGTTGAGTGAAAGACTCTCGAGGTGAATGGATCTTATCTGAAAACAAACTTTAGCACATTTGATCTCATTTATCCTCTGTTCTGGGTATTTCAACATCTCGGCTGTTTTTATTTGGCTAAATGAAAGTTTCAATAATTAAAATCATTTTTAAATTTCGCTCGCTCCCCTTTGCTCTCTCTTCTTTCTCCCCACCACTCCCCCACCCAGTCGGGGCAGATGACTGTTCTTTCATGAGCCAGCCTCTGTTGGACTTCCCTTCATCTTAAAAGGGATTTCTTCCTCCCCACATTCACCAAGCGCTTACTCGGTGTTGCAGGTCTCACTCTAATATTGTAAGGTCTTTATCTTACAATATAAACACATTGAGACGAGGAGCTAAAAAAAACAAAAAAACAAACTCATTCTCATAGGTTAGATATGAAAATATTCAGTGGAGTAGGAATTGTGATTAAAAATCTATAAAGAACATTAAAAATAGTAACATTAACAGCAGTATTGAATTTTACTAAGACAAGAGATTAGTGCTGCAGAAAATTGTTAACCTGGTGATTTAGCTACTAAAGTAAGTACTGAAGCTTTAAACCGCCTGAGTCTATTTGTTTTATTAGCTGCAGTTCCACAGTGTAAAAGAGACTCAACAGCAGATCAGTATAAGTCTAATACATTCATGTGTCACCAAATTAATACATGCACATTCCCACAGTTTGGGCTTCATTCAGTGGTTTTAGTAACGTACAGCTTAAACTAGCACATATAAAATGTATTCCCTCTGCAGATAATCTGAAACTTGCATAAACATGCTATAAATAAAAGAATCAGTGAAAACGTGGTACTCCCAACCTGGCCATTTGTTCAACATAGGTTACCATGGTGATTTAGCAAAGTTAAAAAAGGGCCACTATCATGATTCAGAAAACTCTGACTTTAAGCTCAGCCTTGCTCGCTGAGCGGTTAATGTAGCACAGACCTGCATGATCGTCATCCGTGCAGGTCTGTGCTGCAGCGGTATTAGAGCTTATTTATAGGATAATTCAGTCTAACTTGGAGGTAAAAACAGAGCAGGTCACTTTAGTTAATTTGCAATTATTTATTATAACGACTCGTTCACGATTTGAATCAGTCAGTCTGTTATCTGTTATTGTCAGTGCATTGTAAAATACAGTGAAACTGAAGAGCTATTTCTGCAGGTGTTTCAAAATAAATAACACACAGCATAAAAAAAACAAACAAAAAAACATTAATAAATTATTAATAACACTAATGACACAAAAAGTCTTTTTTCTTACAGAAAGTTTCTTGAATTTTGAAACATGGATGCATAGCTCTCTGTATTATTATTCTTGGGTCTTTACTTTACAATTTGAAGCACCTTGAGGCAGCTGTTGTTGTCATTTAGCACAGCATAAATAAAACTGAAGGGGGGGGGGGGTGTCCACTGCTGACCTGAACTTTCTTAATCTAAACACTTTATTTGTCCTTTTGTCCCAGATTGTGTTTGAAGCGATCAGGGGTTCTTCAATAAGGAGTGACATTGCCATTGATGATGTTACTTTGGAAGGTGGACCTTGCCCAGGTAAACAAACTGAAACATCCTACAAAAAAAGAAAACATGCAATAAAGGATTTCAGATTTGTCACAACTTCCTGCTTACTTAATTTTTTCCTGCAGAAATGGGGATCAGCACCACTGTGGGAACCTCCAATGAGATCGAGTAAAGTGCAAGGAGTGAAAACGGCGTATAATGCTTACCCCCCCTCCCCCCCCCTTCCTGTTTTTTGCACATTACAGACAACTCAAAATGTTGTTGAGTCCTGACTCCTGCATGTCAGTCTAAACATGTGGACAAAGGAAACTTCTCATGTAGTTTCTCTCTTCTTGGAGCGACACATATCAGTCATGTCACAGTCAGCGTTTCTCTGCACTGTAGCAGCAGTGAGCATGTGTTTTTCTTCACATTTGTATTGCATTAGATTAATGCTCATTGCTCAAATAAAGCGAGGACGTTCTTTAACATGAGTTGCTTTTGGTTCTCTCTGTTGATGCCTGGAGTTGGATACAAGAAATACTGTATTTTACTGTCACCTAGTGGGAATACAGCATAGCATACAGGGTCATTTATAAAGGAACAGTGTGAGGGAATTGAGATTCCTTCTCAGGTGATTCAACCTGCAGTCACACCTTGAACCATGTCGCCTGAATAATTCTTATGGTGGGTAAATGACTCTACGGACCTCTTCCAAGGTGACAACCACACTACAGGTTAAATACCTGAGACTCCCCATTAGCTCTGAACTGAAGAAGCCTCTTTTCAACAAGCTAAATAAAAGTTTAGCTGCCTTCAACTTAAACCCTTAAGTCTGCAGTAAGAACCAACCTCATAAATTTAATTTAAAAAAAAGAAAAGAAGTTACATCAGAGGCTCCACACTTCTGTTTTTCCTACACAACCTGTTCATTAATCACCTTAACTAACTGACAGAGGAACAGATGAATGGTTACCACAGATATTCTTATGAAGGGTCTGAAAGCAAATCAGCTAAAATCCTGTGGTCCAAACAGTGGACTTCATAGAAATGTTTTTTGGATTTAAGTGTGGCTGTTCTCATAACCATTTCCCCCAGTTTTAACCAGACTGACTGGTGATTCTACAGTGGAATATGGACATTATATTAGCACTGCCAGAATATTCCTGACTCCAGATATGCTGATGTATTCTCATACACACACCGGTCACATGCATGCGTAGGTAAGCGCCCTTACATGGATCCTGTACTTGTATGAAGTCGCCCACCTGATGTCATGGTAACAGAGGTCTGGTTCTTCGCTAATCTTGGATCGCTCCAGCTTTAAGCCTGGAAATGTCAGAGTAACCTGTGAGTAAATTAAAAATAACACAAGATGTCATGTTTACGCATCGGTAACTGTAACAAAAAAATGGAAACAAAGGGAAGATTTATCTATCCATTTAGCTATCCTAAATGGGCGTTCTTAAAGTCAGCAAAGAGGCACAGAAAAGAAGACCAGACACCAGCGAAGGAGGATAAGAAGGACAGACGCAACAACATTGTCATCCCCTATGTAGCCGGTGTATCAGAGAAACTCAGGAGAGTTTTCTCCAAGCATGACATCCCAGTGTATTTCAGACCCAGCAACACGCTCAGACAGAAACTGGTTCACCCGAAAGACAAAACGCCAAAACACAAACTTAACAATGTGGTGTATGCTGTACAGTGCAGCGAGGAATGCCCAGACCTCTACATTGGAGAGACCAAACAGCCACTTCACAAGCGCATGGCACAACACAGAAGAGCCACCTCCACAGGACAAGACTCAGCAGTCCATCTGCATCTTAAGGATAAAGGACACTCTTTCGAGGATGCCAATGTTCACATTTTGGACAGAGAGGACAGATGGTTTGAAAGAGGAGTGAAAGAAGCCATCTATGTCCACTGTGAGCGACCATCTTTGAACAGAGGCGGGGGTTTACGACACCAACTCTCTGCCATCTATAATCCAGTTTTGAGATCCCTTCCCAGACGCCTTAACGCCCACTCACATCCTGGGCCATCTGACCTCAGGAATTCGCATGATAAGGTGGGGCCAGGTTTCACAATGAACACACCTGAAACTCTGGCTGATTGGGACCCACACCCAGTTTCACACCTTGGCTCAGGCGATTAGAGGATCATCAGGGGGTCCTTTTGTCCCTCTGTGGGGGGTTACTCCCACTAGGTTTATATCTGGGACTCTCCACCATTTGACCTTAGAACTGAAGAAGCTTCTCGGATGAGAGGTGAAACGTCTTCAAGCAACTTAAAGAAGTCCAGACGCTTTTCTTTGCAAGCTCCTTTGACTACGATGACCTGGATGACTGAGAACCTTCACAGACAAGTTCATCTGTTCATACTCTCAGAGTAATGTTCCCTCTAATTTTTCATGTGTCTGAGCGAACACACAAACTCCCTGAGCGGTCCCTTGGACCACTGTGAGCAACAGCAGACGTGTGCACTGTGGTCACGCCAGCATCGAATCCATCCAAGTTACATGGTTTATTAAAATAATCAAATTACAGCATTTATTAGTTAGACTACTTTTAATTAACTGCTTTAGCCCACTTACTGAAAATTAAAAAAAAATCTTGTTCATGACCTGTGTAGCATGTTAACACAGGAAGTAATAATACGTCTGCAAAATACAGTATATAATGACCAATGTTGGGCAATTAATTATATAGTTACTTCTTCAAAAAAGTAACTGAGTTATGCAAACAACAACATTTTTTGCAGCTGTTTACCTAAAAATGCAGCCAAGGCGTTTTTTAAATAAACATTTCAAACTATTTACAGAACAATCAGCTGTTCTGCATCAAATTTGATGCCACACAAATTATTTGTGCCACTCCAAAAATAATTTCTGTCCACTATGAGATAAAGGAGAACAACAGCCTGATACCTGCAGGCCTGACAACAGGAGATGTATCACTCCTGTAACACCTGTAACATTCAGCAGTCGCCTCAATGTTCTGACACACACAACAAGACTATTGACTACACTACACACTAACTACACAAGGTTTGCGCTAAACGTCTCAAATCTCTCACATCTCAAAACACTCCTAAAACTTCCTCCTTCATAACCAACTGTTGCCATATCATTTTTTGATTGGTTGACATGGTACATTTTCGATCAACACAATTTAAAAACAGGTATAAAGTCCACACTTTTTCCGTCTGTCCTGCTCACATCTCCAATGGTTGTACACGTTGTCATTAACGTGGCTTCACTCCACATCAGCCACGTTGCTTTGCTAGCTAAAACACCGGTGTCGGCACATAAGCTGTCATAGCCTGTCAGCGACGTTGATTAGCTGCATATATGAATCGCATTATTGGCTGGACTATGGGATAAGGTGGCATCGTTCTAATCCCATACGGGAGCAGCCAGTCACTTACTAACACTGCAAAACAGAATTGTTAAAGTTTTTATTTTAATTTCAATTCAGGTTAGATTTTTTTTTTGTGCGCAACGCAGATTTTCTGTGCGCAGAGACCGTGCCAGCAGTGCGCAATTGCGCACGCGCGCAAGAGGGAACATTGCTCCAGCGTAGTTTGTTATTGTTTTTGATAAGATCGAGACAATGTTCCCCAGTTTTTCCATGTTAACCTGACGTGTGCACATAATGTTCACCCAATCCTGCAAGAATCCTTCCCAAAATTCCAGTTTTTTAGTCTTTTCCAAGCTGAATCGAGCCAAACATCTCTGACCTTGACTTCAAGGTCACGGAAATTCTAATTTGTCTGAGACTTTTATTAGCTGCATCTAGGGTATGAATACAAAAGCCTACATCACTTTCAAGCCAATCGGACTAACAAACCTAGATTAGCTTTAGAGTCTGATTGGGTTTCATTTTTTTCCTTTTAGAATAAAGCTAACATGTCAGTTTACTTGAAGACAGAGTGTCTGCCATCATTCATATGGTTATAATTGTGGTTTGACATGATAAACCAATCCCATAGCCTCTCTGGTGTGCTGTGAGTCTTTAGTACAAGGAACCTGAATTGTGACATTGGGTAAATAAAGACGACAGCAAAATAAAACCAATATATTCAGATTTATTTAAACCACATACGTACACTGTACATATCAATGAAAACAGACTTGTTAGCGTTTCTTTTGGTCTACATGATGCATGTCCCGTCGTTCAGGTACTTCATCGACTCCATCTGCTGCGTCATCGCCAGAACTTCGTGAAACCCGGTGCTGAGTCCTGACATGTGCTGGAAGTATGCCTCCTTCTCCACCTGCACTGACAAATTGTTCACCCCGGCTTCTTTCAAAATGGCGGTCACCTGTTGAAACCAGAATTACAGTCCACCATAAAAATCCTCAGCGCCAACAATTATAGCCTAAATGTACCTGTAAAACCTTTTTTTTTTACATTTAAATATTTAATAGTAAATAAATGTGCATGAAGATATTCTAAGAAATTAACACAGAAAAGACAACACAGAAAAAAAGAGCAGCATGTGAGTGAGAGAAAATATAGTATTAATGCCCCCATATGGATGCTTTTTGAAGCTTTAGATGCTCTAATGGAATATAAATTCTTAAATTAATGTTTAGATGTTTTTTTCTTTTGTTCTTGCAGTATACCAGTGCTGGTATAGGAGGAGAAATCAAAACCGGAAGCAAAGAAGACTTAGATTCTTTTTTCCTCCACTACATTTATTTTTTACTTTTTAGTCACTAAATATTGTCCAAACTGAACTTTTTAACCTTATAACACCAAGTTTATTAGATTTGATGCTTGAGGTTTTGAGACAGTGTGATTTTTTTTCCCCCTGTAATAATCTGATGTTTACAATCTGACACATGCAGTGAATTTGAGCAATGAACTGTACAAAAATGCCTAGTGTTGGAATAATTATACAAATTAAAACTCATATATGCAAACTGACATTTAATTTAGCCTTTTGTTGTTTTTAATTCGTCAGAAGGGTCAATAAAAACTACATTTTTTTAAATTGAATTTTCTGGTTATTATTTCACGGTTCAGGTTTTACAGGATAAATATATAACTGTACTTCTTATTTATGCTTTATTAATATAGATTATGTAACTACCCAGTAATAACCCAGGTGTGCCATTACAAACAGCCAAGACAATGTTTGGTATTCATTCGCCAAACAATAGGATTCATTGCTGTAAAGTAAAACATTAGTATTAATTCTAATTCTAGAGTTCGTGCCAACCTGCTGAATGATCCTCTGCTCTACCACGTCAGACATGACCTGGAGGTGGATGGTTCCGGCGATCATGTTGGCTGAATGCCTCCAGAAATGAGGGTCTCTGTACGATAAAACTCCTTCAATTTTCTCAATCTGAAACATGAAGAAAATTAAAATCAGAAAATGTTTTTGAAAGTTCCCATCCTGTTGCTTATGTCCAAAAATGTTATATACATATACAGAATCCGCAGCCACAGCAGGGTCCAAGCCGTTATTAGGAACTA